ACAAGACGGATGGATCAGGGGCGCATCAAGCGGGCGCGATTACACCGCAACATCTGGAAAGCAGTGCGCACCCGTCCCTGATCCATCCCTTCAGCCCACAAACGCGCATCAAAAAGGTAGTAGCAACAGAGCACTACCTTCCAGATGATGCGCAGCAACGGAAGGTGTCTGGTCGGGGAAGCGCTGGTAGCCCGTTGCGGCCAGCGCCGTCCCCTGTCCCACGCATGCGCACAACCATGCTACTGCCGGTTTGCTGCACAAGAGTGAGATCAGCTGCTGGAGCAGGGAGCACAGAGCCGTGGGGGCATGTCGGATCGCACTCCCATGGTTCTTTTTGCTCCGGCTCTAATTTGCCTCCCTTCGGCAGCAGATCATCCCGCTCGTGCGACCGGGACGGACGTGAGGTATTCCATTTCATGGAAAAGAAGAAGAAAAAACAGAGGGTTACTTAGAGGTATGGAAACACTACTGATAATGGAAAAAACTACCTAAGCAGTTGTGGGAAATTCTCTAAATTGTAGACTGCAGTGAATAATAATAGTAATGATGATGATGATGATGACGACTACGACGACGACGACAACGACACTGAGAAACCATTTAACCATGCTCCTGTTTATCAATTGCAATACAAAGATTTGCATAAGGAAGGGGGTTCATATAACACCGGACAGGGGAGCCGTGGGAAGAATACTGCCAGCTGAAGAAGGTCTTGTTTTCCATCTTCTTGCAGATGTTCATGCCTGGGCAGAAGAACAAGAGCCCAAGGGCTGTTGGTCTGCTGTTTGCAGATTACGGCCCTGCCTAAATTTAAACATTTTTTGTTCCAGAAACATTTAAACATTATTTGTTCCGGAAACAAGCTAAATGAAACTGCTATGGCCCATTTCATTTAGACAACCTTTGCAGCTCTAATATTGCTCTCTCTTGAAGTCTATTGTACAGATACATTCCAGGATTTAAAAACAAGCTAGAATATCTATAGGCAGCCTGTAAAATTACAGTTTGCATTTGAAGGCGCAGTATGTTTCTATACACTTTTAATTTCTTTTTAAAATACTGATCCTGCAATTACACAGTTAGAAAGGAGGCTCAGAAGGCTTGAGAGAACATTTAGGTTTGCTTCTGCATAATGTGTGAGCTGGCCATGAAATGCAGCCTGTGGCTCAGTTAGGCTGTTTACTTATATATATTCTAAACATGAAAGATTGTTCACTTTTAAATAGGGTGACATTCCTGTGTTTTATACTGGGGAAGAGAAACTGGTATAGGCTGACTTTGCAAGTAGGTCTCAAAAAGTATAGCAAGTTTAGAAGTGGATCCTACTTTGAAACCATTACCTTGGAGTTCTGGCTTCCAAAGTGCTTCTATAGTCTGAAGTCATACCGTACAGACGTTTCTACCCCAGAAAACAAAACACTAATTAGATTCCAATCAGTTTTTCATCCAGCTAAGATTGCTTAGTTATTTCCATGGTTGTCTTGGAAATCAGATATCTTTGAATTTCTCAATGGATTGGTCAGCCTTCTATATATTAATAAAGTCCTTACTACATTGGAGGAGTTGCCATATTAAACTATGCTGGCTCAATCCGGTAACGTTATATAGGTGGGTACTATGAAGCACATTTGGAGTCTTTTCCTGCAGTTGCTTTCCCATCCTTTTAAAAAGAATGCTTGTCAAACAGTTTCATGTACTGTACTGTACTGGGACTTTTGCATGCAGATGAGATTTATTTGTGCATCTTGGGTGTCCAACAATGTGAATGGAATATGTGCAGAGATGCACTTGAATGAATTCCTTGAAGTCAATGGGCCGTATAAATGCTTGCAAAACCGCAGCAGATAGCTATAATTGCCACCACCAGACAATGCTTTATAACAAATTAAATTTGTGCCTATCAGTGCCACTGCAGCATTGCTAACAACTATTTACTATTTATTTATTTGGATTTACTAGGCCACCCTTACCTACAAGCAGGGCTCAGGGTGGCTTACAAACGAATGGAAATTAGCAAACCCCATTCATTGCAGACTGACTGGGAGAAATAATACCATATAAGCCACCCAGTCCTTGTATTTATGATGTAACTTTTCTGTGAGCAGAAGCATACAGTGAGGATATATTTAAAGCATGGCAAACCTGCAAATGTTTGACACATTAGGCTTACCCAAACATGCGCCAGATAAAACTAATGTATTTATTTACATCATTTCTCACAGAGTCTCAAGGCAGATTATGCAGTGTATCAACATCAGTAACATTCTGAACAAGGTCATACTATCATTCTGTAATACCTTGTAAGGCAAAAGGGTGGTGGAAAGTGCTGTCAAGTCACAGCTGACTTATGGTGACCTAATAGGGTTTCAGTGAAATGAATGGGAGCAGATGCTGAGAGCATCGTGGAAATTTTAGTCCTGAATAAGAGTTCTTGGATACTGAAGGCAGGAAATCATGCTTGCTTTGATGTCCCAACTGTGAAGAAACTGGGGGTGAAATGAGCAATTCAAGTCAACTGCTCATTGCTAAGAGAGTGCTGAGTGCTTGTTGCTAAGGGTACTTATATGGGAGATTCCCTTTGGACTGCCAATTGAAATACATGAGTGGATTATTACACATTGGAAGAGTGGTAAAGTCTGACTTCGGGAGTCTCCTCAATAGAGCAGCGCAAAGCTATACAATTCTATAGTTGCAAGATTTTTCAAGGATTTATGTGGGGGTCCCTGTCTTGGAGTATTATTTGAAGGACTTATTTGGTTTGCTGTTGGTATTGAATAATATGTATCTTATTATTTATATATGGCTGTGATGCGAGTAATAAGATTGTAAGTATTAAATTATATATGATTGGAAATAGTACTAGAAAATATTATTAATAATCTGCTCATGGTAACTTTTGTTCTATTTATAGGATCTTATTTCTGTGATCCTCTCTCTTCCATTTAGCTTCTGAACACATGAAGCTGCCTTACACTGAATCCAACCTTTGGTCCATCAAAGTCAATATTGTCTACTCAGATCGCCAGCAGCTCTCTAGGGTCTCAGGCGGAGATCTTTCACATCACCTCCTACTTAATCCTCTTAATTGGAGATGCCGTGAATTGAACCGGGGACCTTCTACATGCCAAGCAGATAATCTGCCACTGAGCCACAGCCCCTCTCCAAGCCTGAGGAAGCAGCATTTAGGACAGTGCTGTCTGCTGCAGCAAGGAGGAGGAGGAGGCAGAAAAGATTGGTTCTTTATGCAGAGGTACTCTGGTTTTCAAATCAGAGGGTCACATCCAGTTAGATTCCTCCCTTCTCAATTATCAGCATAAACTGGAATTTTTAGATTGATTCTTGATGTTTTAGAGGTCTCTTACTTACAGATGGTTATCTTCAGTGGCACCAAATTTTACAAAAGAAACCTGTTACTTAAGGAGAAATGCAGAATTCCCTTTATTGTCATTATAGAAATTATTAAACAAAAGAAGCAATATTCTATAAAAAAGAAGGTTTGAGGTGTAGAAATATGAGTCTAAGAATGGTTTCCTCAAAGAAAGTTGAACTGAAATCAGTGAGACTTCTCCCAAGTAAATTTGCACAGTATTGAATTGTAAAAAGTAGAGTTTTTATGCAGCAGAACTTCTCACTGTAGAGTCACCTTTTACGGGATCAACTTCTTTGTTGATCTAGTATTCCTCCAATCAGGCAAAATAACTGTAGTTTTGAAATATGTTTAATTTAGATTCACTATCTTATTAAAAACTTTGAAAAGGACTGACATTTCAGTGCAGTGAAAAGGGTAGTGCTGATGCACAAAGCATCCCAAGGTGGTTCTTTCCCCTTCTCTTTCTACCTGTGTAGGCAGCAAAGATGGATGCTAGAGGGATAGTATAGCTTTGTGTACCTCTCCCATATCCGCCATCTAGCCCTCCCTTAGGCTGTGAATGTAAGTAAGATGTGAAGGAGGGCTGGGTGGGGAAACTGGAAGCACATAGATCTCCCATTCTCCTATTCTGTCTCACTGCCTGCGTATCTGTGCCCAGAAGCAGATGTAGGCATTCTGTGCATGGGTATCGCCTCCTCAATTTAATTGTGCCCCCTTTCATTTTTTAAAAAAAATCTCACAAGTAGAAAAACAAAGTGTTAATATTATGAAGCCTCCTGAAAGAATTTTACTATTTTAGGTTTGTATAATGATGAGCATTTCCAGCGGATTGGCAGATGTGTTCCTTTAAAAGAGGACAAAATTATATACAAGCTATTGCTGATAAATGTAAAAAGTGAGACTATCAGCTATTGCTGATAAATGTAAAAAAAAATAGAAAAATACAGGTAAAATATCTTCTTGCAGCCAACAAAGCAAGACATTCATAGTAAAATATGTTTTCAGAAATCAAAATTAATTAGACAAATGCCTCATTGGCAGAAAAGTTAAAGTTGAACAAGTTATGCCCTTTGCATTATGGTTGGAGTAGAACAAGAAAAATAAACATTTTAATATAATTAAATAATACATTGATAAATGTTCACATCATATTCTTAAACCAAAACATGGTTCAGAAGATAATGCACTGGGGATATATAATTTATATGAAAAAGGGATTGTTTGTACCTGTGTATTTTCTTTTGGTTTAAAATCTGCCTTCACTAGGTATCAGCCAATCTAAGAATTTTGTTGAGTTATCAGACTTGACTCAAGGTTTATGCAAATCAACAAAGAAAGTTAGGAATAATCCTAAAATTGAAGAATCAGATCATGCTTTTAAATTTAAACTTGAAACCCTTAAACCAGCAGTAAAGCAGAAATGACATTCAGTGTCTGCAGTAACAAACCCAACATTTGTAAATAATTCAATATAGAGAATATAGTTGAAAGAACATTTTATATAAGTGTGCTTTTCCTATAAATTTTTTTTGCTTTTGCTTTTTAAAAAAAGTCTATGATTCATAAATATGAAAGGAGAGGTGGGGTATCAGCCCCATTTTGTTTCTCCATTTGAGCAGTAAAACAGTCTTCAGTTTTCATTACTCATTGCAGTCTTATTGGCTGCTGCATTGTTATGCTTGTATCTTAAACAGTTTTGATGTTTTGTTGGTGGTAAACTTTTAGCATAATGTGAATACCAGTCCCTTTCAAACACAGCTCTAAGTTGCTTGATGATGCTGGTTTTGTTCCCATTGTCTGTCGCCTGGTTGATAACAAGACCAGCTCCGGCATTCTGATTAAAATAGGTCCCAACCCAGTCAAAGTTACCTATAAAAAATGAAGGCACATGCAATAAAGTGTTAACATCAGAAAAAAGCAGATTTCTTTAAAAAAAAATGTTGCCATCTTTCTTCATCCCAGTAAAAATGGCTGTGGAACTACTTTACACTCTCCATTTGACTATTGATACTAAAAGCAGATAACTCCTGCATGTTCTTCTCCTTTGCTCAGTCTGACTCATGTATGCTATAGTCCCACTTTTGGATTAAAATATCTAATTATCTTCCTGCAGGTCTCTACCATTATCATCATCAGTGGCAGGATTGGAAGTACATATTGTAAAGGAATTTAAACAGGGGTCATTTAGTAGAAAAAGAGGTGCCGGAGCTCATTAGCATAACTTATTTGCATATGCCATACCCCCTGACATCACTGGAAGCTACCTTACAACGAGCATGAAAATACCGATCAAGTTAGTATTGCTATTTATTTTTGTGATAGTTGCTATACAAAGCCTTCTGGGTTCAGCTTTTTAAAGTCCAGTTTTCTTAGAAGGGCAAATTAGCAGTGACCTTTGCTATATATGAGTGTGGTTGGTTTGTTTTGGAAAAGGAAGTTACATTCTTATCACACCAATGTACCTGTACAGTTACATGAAAAATAAATTATTGCAAAAAACCTGTTCAAATAAATAGTCTACTTGTATGAACAGTGTGACATTAGAGAATGGGACTTATGCAAGATTGCAGCTTTTTTATATGCTCAGCAAAAAAAATTATTAATGGAAGAAAAGCCACAATCTCATGCAAGTTTCTTTCAGTCACTTGCAAAGACTCCAGCAGCTGGTACACATTCTGCATGCTCCATGTTTCACAGGGCTAGCAGATCTACTATCTGGAAAAGACATCCTCCCTTGACATCCTCCCTTGAGAGAGAGAGGTGTGCCTAAAACAGAGTTACACACATGACACATATAATAACATTAAATAATATTAAATACATAACCAAGTTGCTTTCTTCAAGTGAATACAAGCTAAGCTTTGCTTGTTGCCGTGAGCAAGACAATTCCCAGGGCTTTTTTTTCTGGGGGAACATGCCAGAAGAGTTCTGGAACCTCTTTGACAAAATTCTTTTTAAAGGACCCACTGAAGACATTGTTAACCTGACCCCCTTTGAAATGCAGTGATCATCCCAATTGAGTGGTACTTAAAGTGCCAGCATTCTATTGTTGCCCTGGCCTGGATGGCCCAGGCTAGCCGGATCTTGTCAGACCCTCTGAAGCTAAGCAGGGCCAGCCCTGGTTAGTACTTAGATAGGAGGCCACCAAGGAAGCCCATGGTTGTGACACAGAGGTAGGCAATGGCAAACCACCTATGAACACCTCAGGCCTTAAAAATCACTACGAGGTCGCCATTGGCCAGCTGCGACTTAATGACACTTTCCACCAAGAATTTTATTGTTGCATAAGAAAAAGGCCTGACAAAACCCTTGGGGCTGTGCACTTTGCACCTCTCTGGAACCTTATGTCATATTGCCCTCATCCAGCCTCATCTAGAGACAACAACCACATGGCCCCAGACACAGAAAGTCCACACAAAAAGGTCTGCATTTTACCATCAAGTCCAAATATTTCACACCATGGGAAGGCAGAAGGAGAAAATAATACTGTCTGCCTGTCTGTCTAACAAAGTTTGAGTCCAGTGGCACCTTTAAGACCACAAAAGTTAGAGAGAGAGACAGAGACAGAGAGAGAGAGAGAGAGACAGAACAGAGACAGAGAGAGAGAGAGAGAGAGAGAGAGAGACAGAGAACAGAGAGAGAGCTGAGAAAGACAAATAAAGAGAGAACACAGAGAGAGAGAGAGAGAGAGAGAGAGAGAGAGAGAGAGAGAGAGAGAGAGAGAGAGAGAGAGAGAGAGAGAGGGTCAGAGAGAGACATACACAGAGGGGAACACACACAGAGAGAGGGGCAGGGAGAGACACAGAGGGGCAGAGAGAGACACAAACAGAGAGAGAGAGACACACACACAGAGAGAGGGGCTGAGAGAGAGACCCAAACAGAGACACACACATACACACAGAGGGGAAGACACACACACACACACTCAGAGGGGCAGAGAGAGACACAGAGAGAGGGGGGGCAGAGAAAGATACAGAGGAACAGAGGGGCAGAGAGAGACACAGAGGAGCACACACACACACAGAGAGGCAGAGAGAGACACAAACAGAGGGACAGGGACACACACACAGAGAGAGACACACACACACACAGAGACACACAGAGAGACACACACACATACAGAGGGACACAGAGAGAGAGAGAGACGCACACACAGAGAGAGGGGCAGAGAGAGACACAGAGGGACAGAGTGAGACACACAGAGAGAGACAGACACACACACACAGAGATGACAGAGAGAGCCAGCCTGGTTACTCTACAAAGACTCCCTGCCACCCTAAAAGCTTGCCAGCCTCTCCAGCCCCCACCCCAAAAGCAAACCCCACCCTGCTGCACCAGAACGCCCAAGCCGCCCGTGGCCTGGGTGCCTTTGCCTCCCACCCTCCCCACCCAAAGCAAGCCCCTCATTGGAGCACCCAACCTACCCTTGCCTCCCACCCTCCCCACCTGAAGCAAGCCTCCACCCCCACCAACTTACACTTCTTCTGGTTGGGGGCAGCGGCGGCGGCAGCGAGCAGAGGCAGCACATGCTGCCTCCCACTCCTCCTGGCTTGAATGAGGGCTGCTGGGAACTGTGGGTGGGGCTTAGGCCACCATGCAAGCTCTGGCTGCCCATCCGCCCAGCAAAAAAAAAGTTTAAAAAAAGTTTTTAAAAACCCCTTCTGCTTTCAAAGCGGGTGAGGGGACTGAAATGCACCCCCAGAACGCCATCCCTGTGCGTTCCGGCTTGAAATGAGCCCTGAATTTAAGGAGTACTACACTTCTTCTGTTGTGAGATTTAAGACCAACTTTCAATACAGAGAAAAATCCCTCAGCTTTTATGGTCAAGAAACCGAGGGTGAAAAGGGGCACTAGAGTAAATCAGCTCAGTTCATGGGGAACCGCAAACCTCCAGTTAAGCAGCAACAAAAAACCTCTCAATGCTTCCTTGTTTTGCCATGCATTTTCAAGTGGGAAAAAAGGAAGTGGAAGAAAGGGGAGGACAAGTGAGCTGCTGAAGGGGACTGGTTCTGTAATTTTACAGATTTACTGAGAGGAGTTCAAGAGGGGAGGGGCTAAAGCAAGGGATGACAGAAGAGAGGTAAGATTTGGATTTTTACACATGTACAAAGATTCTGATATAATTTGCTAAAGGAGTCTGACAGCAGGGCCTTTTGCCTTAGGTCCTAACAATAAGTTCACAAAAAAGTTGTAAACCTGCATCTAGAATGTACTGTCTCAGTTTGCAGGGTGAGGTGGCCCTCACGACTGAATTCTTCTCCTTAGGGGGAAAACCCTTTGTACATAGAAAAGAAGCATGTAAAGGAGAAACCCTGATATCTAGTTTTTTATAAATAGGGTGGGTTTTTTTGGTATGGAAGACAATTCAAGTCATGTCAGCTACAGCTAAGTGGTACAGTCCCAGAGATAGGTTTATCACTTCAGAGATAAATACATCTGAGATTATCCAACAACTAATTTTAGTAAACCATGAGATGGGAATGAATCTCCTTGGGGACTTGTAGGTGCCTAAAACTATCTTGAAAGTAAGAGTTAAAGATCATACTCTGAGAAGCGCTTTTTCCCCTATTGATTTTCAGGATGTGGTAACATTGAAATTGAACAAGGATTATGTTAAAACCACAAAATAGTAAAATGTCCAGTAGCACCTTTAAGACTAAAAAACTTTATTGTAGCATAAGCTTTTGAGAAACACAGCTCTCTTCATCAGATGCATGGAGGGTATAAAGAAACTGATCAGAGATATATAGGAGGTAAGGGGAGAGGGGAGAGGATGCAGAAAGTGCCATGTAAATGCAAAACAGTTGCAAAAGTCATGAAAAAGGTAGAATGCACAATCCAGGCTGGACGTGACCCCTTCCTTCTTTTGAAGAATCTGAATGGACTACCTGAAAGGCAGTTACTTCTGGTAATGAGATAACCATCCAAAGTCTCTTTTCAATCCAAGTCTGACTGAGTCAAATTTACATATACATTCTAATTCAGCAGCTTCTCGTTGGATTTTGGTTTTGGAATGTTTCTGTTGAACTATGGTGACCTTTAAGTCCTTGATGGAGTGTCCTGGTAGATTGAAGTGTTCTCCCTCTGGTTTCTGGGTATTGCCATTTTTGATGTCAGATTTGTGTCCATTTATTCTTTTGTGTAGAGGTTGGCTGGTTTGTCCTATGTACAGAGCAGAGGGGCATTGTTGGCACATGAGAGCGTATATCACATTGGAGGATGAGCAGCTGTAAGAGCCAGTAGTTGATGCCATTGGGTCCTGTAATCATATTTTCTGGGTAGATATGTGGGCAGAATTGGCATCTGGGTCTGTTGCAGGGTTTGGTTCCTGTGTTGGTGATTCCCTTAGATGGTTCATGGTTGTTAGTGAGAAGTCGTTTGAGGTTTGGGGGCTGTCTGTAGGCAAGGAGAGGTCTTCCACCTTGGGCTTGTGAGATAGAGGCATCATTTCCTAGAATGGGCTGTAGATCACTGATGATACATTGGACTGGTTTGAGCTGGGAACTATAGGTGACGAACAGTGGTGTTCTGTTGTTGGTTCTTTTTGGTTTGTCCTGGAGTAGGATGTTTCTGGGTACTAGTCTGGCCCTGTCAATTTGTTTCCTCACCTCATTTGGTGGGTACTGTTGTCCCAAAAATGCCCGTTGTAAATCCCTTAAGTGAGAGTCCCGATCAAGAGCACTGGAGCAGAGATGATTGTAACACAAAGCTTGGCTGCAGACAATCAACTGAGTTGTATGTTTTGGGTGATAGCTGGAGGCATGTAGATATGAGTATTGGTTGGTGGGTTTTTGGTCTAAGGCGGTGTTCCTCTGTCTATCATGTGCTACAATAAAGTTTGTTAGTCTTGAAGATACTATTTTGCAGTTAAAATCACAAGTTACCACATCCTGAAAAATAGTATCAGGCAATGAAGGTTGGGTTATACCACATACTTCTAACTTTTCATATGCAAATATTAATAACGGACCAGTGATTTGTATAAATTAACCCTTGGGTTCTTAAATTCTTAATTTGGGTAAATTACTTATTATTCTAGATTTGAAGCTATGTAAATTGAACTTTATTTTACTTACCAATATAAGCAGCTCTGTCAGTCACTACATATTTATTGCGATTGATTTTAAGAAGGGAAGTATTTTTCTGTTCCTTGAAAAAGCAAGCACTTTCTTCTTCGAGATCAAAGAATTTCTGCATTAAATGAGACCTAGTTAGTGAAAGCTGTTCTCTTGACAGCAGTGCAGAAGAAAAACAGATGATATTCTATGATTTCTTAAAAAATGAAAATAAAGAACAGAAAGGTTCAAGAAATTCATTGATTTATAATGGGGTTATATGAAAAACCATGTTGTACACAACTTTGTTTAAAAGCTGAGTGCATTCAGAAAGATTTCAAAGGAACTAACTTTTGACTGTTAGTGTAACCCTGACTTCACTAGGAAGAGCTAGTTGGGGTATACCTTATAAGGGGGGAAAAAGGCACAATTTTCCCTGAGGGCCTGAAGGACTTGAAGCTGCAGGTATAAGCACTCTCACCTCAGAAGCACTCCTTTCTATAAAAAGATATATTAATATTTAGGGATACCAGAAACTCCTGTAAAGAACAGAGGCCATCCCAGAGCAGAGCTGCAAGCTGATGCATATTCAAGGAACTGGCTAGACAGAAGTCAGAAAGACTGAGACCAGTCCAAGACGCTGGTCTGTTCAAGTACAATAGGCCTGAATCATTACATGTTGACTGCTGTTGTATATGCTCAGGCTGCATTTCGGGCTGGAGCAATGCTTCGGCAGTAAACAGGCCCGCCCCGTCCCCTCCCAAGTGACTCACACAGTGCTCCGTCCCAGCAGCCAGAGAGAGAGACACGTGGCCAGGCCAGGCAAAGCAGGCAGGCAGGTGGCCACCCCAGAGAAATGTAAATGGCCACTTGGGGGAGAGGTTTTGGGGAGGGGGATGGCGGTGGTGAGGCTCCCCTGGGGCTGTGCTGTGCTGGGGCGCACAGCTGCCTCTCTGGAGTGCCCCTTGGCGAGGCCACCTGCAGAGCCCGGAGCAGCATGGGCTCACTCTTCCAAGGCCCAATGAGGCCAACAATGAGCCCTTTTGCCCGGGCCTGCTCTCCCCTTCTCCTCCTCCTGCTTCTCCGCATTCCCCGCTATGAAGGGCCTCTGCCGACATGCAAGGGCGGCTTGGTGAGGAAGGCAGGCACAAGGGCAGCACAGCCAGAGGGAGGAGAAGCCAGGAACGACAGGGATCCCCCCCCCCACAACAGCTCACTTTGCCGCAGAGCCTTTGCAGCAGTTGGAAGGCTGGGCTCGACAGGCGCGCATGCAGCCCGGTGCCTTGTGGAGCCGCTCGGATTTCCCTCGGGAAGAGAGCAGCGTTAGCTCCAGCAGCCCCTTTGGCTCTTGCCTTCCCTGCCACAGCTTGCTGTGAGTGCTAGGCAGGGTTGGTGCAGTACTGGCCCTGAGAGGCTGCGTCGGTGGCTGCAAGAAGAAAGGCCGCTGCTGGTGGTTGGCCTCCTGTGCTCCAAGGGCTCCTCCATCTTCCTTGGGCCAGGCTGCACTCAGAGGGAGACCAGAGCAGCAGGCACCTTTCTCACCTCCTGCACCATCCCACCGGCCGGCCCAGAGCAAATGTGGGGCGTCGTGTGCTGAGGAGAGGCCTCCCGGCTCGCCTGCTGCACTCAGGCCTGGAGTTAGACCGCAGGTGGTGTTTGCCATGGTGGAGGGAGAGCAGCAGGGTGCACCAGCGCAAGGCCAAATTGGGGGGGGAGGGCTTCGGCAATGGTGCGACCCGCCCGGCCCTGCAGTCGTGGCAGGGAGTGGGGAGGAGGGGTGGCCTCCTGGGTTCCCAGCAGGGTGGCCAACCACCTGGGGGACTGCCTTGCTCCTCTGGCCAAGGCTCGTCCCGACCTCCGTGCTGGGAAAAGCCACGCCTGCCCAATTCCATGACTCAGGCCTCCTAGTGGTTGTTGGCAACTCACAGGGAGAGGGAGGGAGGGCACAGCTGCCCCTCCTGTCCAATGGTGCCTTTCCCTGGTCCCATCCCCCCCGACCACGGGGCAAAAGCACCTGTCCCGCAGCCCTTCCCCCTGACCCCTCCGAGCTGGCACAGCCCCGAGTCCAGGGGAGGGGGGTCCTCCTCCATTTCCATGTTGCAGCACCCCCTCCTCCCCCCTAGCCCCATGGGAGTCTCAACGAAGTCCTGGGCAGGATTCCACTCTCACCCCCCACCCACATACCCCAATGACTGCCTGTGGTGGACCGTGGATTGAGGCCCTGTGGGGAAGTGGCCTCTTTATCAAGAGCTCCAGCCTGGCTGCCATCCGCAATGCCCTCTACTGCATCTCAGTGGGGCTGCTTGTGAGTAAGTCTGCTGCATGCAGGGGGGGGGGCTGCACTCTCAGAGGATTCAAGGCTGTCCAGCCAGTTCAGGGAAAGGAGGCTGGCGCTGGAGTTCTGATAGTTCCTTCTGAGTTGAGTTTAGTGATAACAGCTTTGGTTGTCCCCTGTTGAAAGCATAAATGTTGCTATTTTCTGCTTGAGAAGCAGAGAGCGTAGGTCAGCAAGATATAAGACAGGTGGCCATGACTACTTGTGACTGCTAGTTAATCTATTTATTTAGATTCAACAACGTAGACTGTTGTTGGCAGTTTTTACTGATCTCTCCCTTCCAGCTCCAGACACACGCCCCTGCACCTAGGAGGTAGAGGAAAGAGAGCTGTAATGACTGTAATGCCCAAGGAGAGAGTCATTTTATTTATTATTTATGTACAAGACTTATATCGTGCTATTCTGCCCTGATCAGGGCCACCACGGCAGCTAATGACTTGCTACTGCTCAACAGCCGCTGCCCCATGAAGTGTTGTGTAGTGGTTAGTGTTCCAGACAAGGATTTGGGAGACCCAGGTTTGAATCTGAGTTGGGAAATACCTGGAGATTTTGAGGGTGGAGCCTGAGTGGTGGGTATTGCCTTCTGACACACTTCCGATGATGTCAGGGAGTGTGGCATATGCAAATAAGTTATGCTAATGAGTTATGCTAATGAGCTCCTGCACCTCTTTTTCTACGAAATGACCCCTGTAGATGCTTAATTATTGCTCCAAATACTGTCTTTTGAAATCTGTTTACTGTTATTTTGCCAGTTTGGTGTAGCGGTTAAGTGCATGGACTCTAATCTGGGAGAACTGGGTTTGATTCCCCACTCCTCCACTTGCACGTGGCTGGATGACCTTGGGCAAGCCGTAGTTCTGATAAGAGCTGTTCTTGAAAAAGAGCAGTTTCTGTCAGAGCTCTCTCAGCCCCACCTACCTCACAGGGTGTCTGTTGTGGGGAGGGGAAGGGAAAGGAGTTTGTAAGCCACTCTGAGACACCTTTGGGTAGTGAAGGGTGGGTATAAATCCAATCTCTTCTTCTTCTCTTCTCTTATTTTCATAAATGCAAATGTCACAAGGTGGGATCCCACTGTCATAGACATAAATTCTCTCAGTTCTTAAATTAAAAATATTTATTTGACATGCTCCTTGAATTAGGGTGTGAGAAAGCTTTTCTGGGTAGACTTACATGTTATAGCCAAGAAAGACAGAGGTTTTTGCTTGTGAAAAACTCTGCCCTTGCTTTTTGCTTGGTCTCAATTTGTCTACTTTTTAGAACCAAGCAGAGAGCTAAACCTCTGTTATTTTAGCATTTAAATCATTGGCTCATCTTCCCTCTGTGTTGAGTTTGAGTCCTGCTGCTGTTATGCTTCATTTTAATGCCACTGTTTTTATATCAAGCTAGGTACTTTTAGTGGACATTACTGCTGGATTTTAATGTTATTATTTTTATTGTATTTGTTGTTTGTGGGAAACTTTTATTTTAAACCAATCAATTGTAGATCAGTTATTCTTTTCTTTCAGTGATTCAGCTAGCAAGCAGGCCTAGCAACACGCCTCCCGGGCATAACCAGAACAGCCATGTTTACATTGTTTGACTTATGCATGGGTAAATTCAAGAGCTGTGGTTCCAGAAAAAATTATGCCTGAAGAAGATTTGTTCGAAACACGCAGGTTATGCCCGGAGGCGTGTTGCTAGGCCTGCTTACTAGCTGAATCACCTCATGGGAAAATACATCTACTAGGCTTGCTTGCTAAGCTGAATCATCACAGTGAGAAATACAAGCTGCCTGCTAGCTTTACCTGAGGGATCATCACTTGGGATATGTACAATAGGTTGCTGCATTGTTCGGTACAAATAACTGTACATTGGTATTTATCCTCCATCAGGAAGAAGACAGTTGGACTCTTCATGTTATATAACTTAGTTTGAAAGTGTTTGAAATGTGATGTTGTAGTTTGGAAGTGTTTACAATACACTAGAGTTGGTGTTGTGTATAAAAGCAAATATATTTAGCTATAAGTACATGTGAATATTGTGTTTATTATTTCAACACAGTGTTTTCTGTGTTTATCTAACTTAGCGGTGTTCCCTGTGTGCTTGTTGTTAAGCCTCCAGGTGGGGCCTGGAGTTTCTTGGAATGACAACTGATCTTCAGATTACAGAGATCAGTTCCTCTGGAGAAAATGGCAGCTTTGCAGGATGCATTCTGTGGCATTATATCTGACTGAGGTGTGTCGTTCCCCTCCCCAAATTCCCCTCTCCCCAGGCTCCATCCCCAAATCTCCAAGAATCTCACAATCCAGAGTTGGCAACCCTATTACCTTCTGCTCTGTGTGTGTGTGGGGGGGGGAGTCAACATTAGTGAAAGGTGGTCCAATTACCACCATTTGTACACACCATAATAATGGGGGCTCCAGATGATGTCATCAGTCTGCTGTTTTCCTGTTCCTTTCCCTTCACAGGATTTTGCTTTTGTGGAATATAGAAATGTAATCCATGTGGTGTGTGGACTTCACCATGTTCTCAGGCTGATGTATGTTTTTATGTCACAAAATTATTTGGGGGGATGCAGTGTTCACTGTTATTTTTAGTATCACTGTTGTCACACTATTACAAGTTGCTGCTGTTTCTACTATATTAGATTCGACTATATTAGATTCTACTATATTAGATAATTCCTATGAGGAGGTGTGCCCTGGCTGCACTAGGAGGTCTCCTTAACATTTCTGAGAAGAGAAAATTCAGCAGTGAAACTGCCAGTGTCAGTTGTTCAGTAAAGTGAACAGTTCTCTCAATTTGTTTCTCTTCTTGCTCCATACTAGCCTTGAAGCACTTTATAATATTGTTGGATGAATCCAAACCAGCCAGGAATGAGCCTGCTTGCAGAGAGGGTGGGATATAAATAGAAATAAATGAATGAACGAATAAATGAATGAATAGATAAAAATGCTTGTATAAGATTTGTGGCATCCAGGACTACACCATTTACTTTCTAAGGAGAAAAAGTAGGTAGGCAGTGTGATAGTGGTATGCTGTCATGGTGTAATAGTGCTTATTGGCTCAAACAAACAAAACTAATGTCAGTGAACAAAAAAACCCATATATTCATGATGGTAATATGAGTAATTCCCCACCCTCTTTCTGCCCACAACTTACAGACCCCTTTCTGCCAAGAACTATGTTCCCCAGAGCTCCCTGTGAAGCCAGAGGTACAGAGAGATTCCATCTTGTATCAAAGCAATGAATCATGGATGTGGACAGATTGGAGCGGGAGCAGAGAAAAGCAACGAGGATGATCAGGGGCCTGGAGACCAAGCCCTATGAGGAAAGGCTGAGGGACTTGGGAATGTTCAATATGGAGAAGAGGTGGTTGAGGGGGAACATGATTGCTCTGTTTAAGTAGTTGAAGGGCTGTCACTTAGAGGAGAGCAAGGAGCTGTTCCTGTTGGCAGCAGAGGATAGGACTCACACTAATGGGTTTAAATTAAGGGCGGGAAGGTAACGGCTGGATATTAGGGAAAACTTTTTTTACAGTAAGAGTTGTTTAGCAGTGGAATCAGCTCCCCCTCACTGGCAGTCTTTAAGCAGCGGCTGGACAAACACTTGTCAGGGGTGCTCTAGGCTGATCCTGCATTGAGCAGGGGGTTGGACTAGATGGCCTATATGGCCCCTTCCAACTCTGTGATTCTATGATTCTAAGCACATCGTATAATAATAATAAACCTTGAAAACAAGGGAACCTTTGGAATTATGGGATGTAGATAGGTAAGGGGGTCATAGTAGAAAAGGCAAATCTGCAGAACTTCTGCTTCTGAAAAGAGTAGGGAGGTTTGATCAATTTCAATATAACTCTATAGTACTTATGAATATATTAAGCAGTTTTGTCCTGCTTTAGGGCATAATTTTGGCAAAATTAAGTACTTTGAGTCCCATTACTTCAACAGAAGTACTAAATTTGTACTGAATCTCTCCTATTTGATCTTCAGATTAATTCTGGATGGATTGTGCCCTAATTGCTTTTTCAAAAGTAATTTCCTTACTTTTCCCTCAAAGAACTTAATTAGGTAAGTACATGAAGAACCAGAATGACTTGACAAAATATTGTTAGCAATTAAACTTGGAACGTATTATGTAACTGCAGTCTATTAATGAAAATTAGGTTCTTTAGGTTTTTTTTAGCATATCAAGAATTTTACTTTTTTCTAGATGAAGCAAAAATTATGTGGGGGATACTGAAGTGCTTGTTTCATACCATGCAGGAGAGAGAAATGGCAAAAATCAGTAACAACATATTTCAAGTTATGCCATCCTTCAGGGAATATACATTTACATATACATATTTTCTGTTATGGATACTCAGTTTACTTATTTTGCCTTGTTTTATCTGATAACTGGTTATATTATTTTCTTAATTTTAAAATTTTGGTTGTATATAGTTTCTTGATTGCTTTAATTGTAAGCTGCATTAGAAATGGAAGATTTTTTTCTTGAAGAAGTGCTGTATAATGCTGCACAGTGGCTTAAATTAATAACAAGCAGAATCCATTCAACATCTATGTATATGCAGCACAAAGTATGTGCTGAGGTGACAAGATGTCTAAGGAGAGAAGGTACATTGAACAGAGGTAGAACAGTACAGGAATAATCTTAAATGTTTGGCACTAGGGTGTATTGTATTGAGAACAGAAAAGAAAATAATGAATTATGTTACTGTGATTATTACATGTATTTCACGTACTTATTTGAAGTTGAATATGGTGTTTTCACAAAACAGTTGAAGAAGATGGACAGAGATTAATGGACAGAGATTAATGAGGGGAAAAATGAGGAATACTTACAACTTTCAAATTACAGCCAGAAAGGTCAGGACAAATTGCTTTAAGAGATGAAATGAAGTTTAATGTGAGTGGATCTGTTTCTTTGGAATAACTTATGAGGAGTCGTACTCTAATTTTGCGTAAAACCAGTGCTTCTCTTATTTTCCCATCCAAATATGGCCAGTACCTATGGAGAGAGAAAAAAAATATTTTTGATCTAAAAAGCTACACATTCCAAGATTTCTTAACTTAAAAAAAAAAAAGCTGAAGAGGCTACAGATGTCTATGAAGCCATAAGCGGATCAGGAACCATTTGAAGAACTATCCACTTGTAGTAAATGCAAGATCCATGGGACCACTGATTCATGCAATGGGCCACAAGGCAGAATTCTGGAGAAAGTAGGTGGTAGAGAATTCATCCTTCTACAGTGTGATGTGGCCCAGAAGCCACTTTTTGGTATTGTACTGAGAGAAGCAGAAATGCCAGTGAATACAGAAATGGTAGCCAACTCAACACCTTTCTTTGACCTTTGGACAATGTGCTACCTGTAACCAGTGTTCCCTCTGAGTTAGTGTGAGCTAGCTCACAGTTTTTTAGCCTCTGGGTCACACATTTTTATCTTAGCTCAGGAAAGTTGGCTCCAGAGCAAACTAATCTATGCAGAAGCCAAATTGCTTGCTCGCAACTTTAATGCCAGTAGCTCACAAAGTAGAATTTTTGCTCACAAGACTCCACAGCTTAGAGGGAGCATTGCCTGTAACTGGAAGGTTGCCAAAGCATATTTTTCCTGGTCAATCTGATAACTGGGATATCATATTTTCATGTTCTCTTTAGTACCACCAAGGACAGCATTGACCAACAGAAAATCTCAAACCTACCAGAATAACTACTTAGTGACGTCACACGCTGGGCGGGGCCACGCCGTTTGAGGGGAAAACAAAGAGTTTTCCCCTCAAATGGCAGCCATTTGAGGGGAAAACTCTTTGTTTCCCCCTCAAACGGCGTGGCCCCGCCCAGCGTGTGACGTCACTTCTGGTGACGTCCTGGCGGCGCGCGCATCCACGAGCATCTCCCGGAGCGGACAGAAGATCCCCCGACGGCAGGTATTTTTAATTTGGCAACCCTATTGTAGACATATAGCTCCTTTTAAACAGGGAATTCTTTTCTGGGGGAAAAAGTATTAAGGATTTTTAAAATGTAAAGTAAAAAACAACAACTGTTGAAAAAGTGGAAATTCTCAAGTTAAAAGTGTTCATGGTGCCTACAGAAGGCATGTAGCACATCTGACTCAAAAAAACCTGTTTCTTCCCCAGCTGGTGATTGCTAACAGGCAGATTAGTATATATGGTCCTGCCATAGAAAAACTCTGTTGGAATCTCTGTTCCTTGGTTGTTTGTCTTGAAATCAGTAACTTGTTAAATGTAAAAGCATCACTGGCAACTATTTATAAAATGCATGGCTTAATCTACTTTAAATTTACTCATGGTACCTTACAGTCAAAGTAATAATTAAAAATAATATATTTAAAACAATAATAAAAGAGCCAAAACAAAAAATCTTAACACAGCAGTAGGGATACCTGGCCACCACCTGGGATTTCCAGGAGTATTTTGGGGACAGGGATAGACATGCCAGCATCACACTGGCACACAATGTTGTTTCCAGCAAAAATGGAAAGGGATGTCATGACATTGGAGGGGGGACATCCTAAGAGTCACCAAAACTCTATTGTTGATCCATAGAGGTTTTAGCTAATCCTAGAGGGCCTCCCCAATGTCATGACCTCACTTCCAGTTTAAATTTTGGCACGAGAACAGCTCAGATTCAAACAAAAATTTAGTTTATTTTAAAGGCATTCCACAAAAGAATGTGAAGGGGCCAACCCAGTCTCCTAGGGGATTGAATTCCACAACCTCACAGCCACACCAGAGAAGGCCCCCTCTAGATGGTCCACCAATCTCACCACTTTGCATTTGGCTACAGTTGCCAGGCCATGCTTGGCAACCAGCAGGACCCTTTGGGAGGGGATGCTGGGGTTGCCTGTGCTGCATGTGCTGTGAGATCATTTCTGGAGGGGAGAGAGATGTGATGTCATGTTGCTCTAGGACACATCCAAGTTTTTCCCAGAAGTCAAGTCATGCCACATGTGAACTGGTGTTTTTAAAAACTTTTCCACTGCTGCTCTGAGCAGTGGTGGGCCACAAAGTTGCTGGCAGGTCGTCTCCTGCCACTGTGGGAAACCTGGTAACCCTACCTATGGCCCAGAAAAAAATTGGAAGCCAATGTAGTTGTTACAACAAAGAGGAACTTCTGTGCTAGTGGAAAAACATTTTTGTTAATCTAGGCTCCAAACAGAAAAAAATTAAGCATATAGGCTTATTTACCATGACTGAATAGCAACCATGCTCAGATGCCTCTTCTGCTTTATAAGGACTAATGCTTACTAGACAAATGTGTCATTTAAATTCAGTGTTTGAATTTTATATACTCAAATGCAATCCTGATTCTTACTGTTGTGTACTGGGTTCGATGTGTCTTGAAGACAGACGCTGAGTGATTAGCAGCTCATATTTTACTGGCACACAACACAACAACAAACAATGCCACCCACTGGTCCCATTGGCAGGTTTGAACTTCCCGCCACAGTTCCTATAGGTGCTGACTAGGAGTCTCAGGATCCTAGTCCCCATTGTTCTTTTGGAGCCAAGCTCTGGTCACATACCGCTGGCGCCTAGTGGCAGTCAGCGGACATAACACTTACCCATTTCAGTTTCAGGACAGCTTTGAACCCCACATTTTAAAATCTCTTTGGCGTGAAAGAAAAGACTTGGGCCACTGAAATCTGCCCCTCTAGAAATCTCTACATGAATGGAAGCATGCCTCTTTTAAGAGTTTATTCCTCTTAGCAAATTGTCACGAAAGTGTAGATTTCTGGCATTCACCAACCTTGTTTCATTATGGTCTCTGACAATAGGCAGGTACTCCATAGTAGCTACATACACAAATTGCTGGGCATCATCAATGACACTGTAGATAGCATCAATATCCAAGACTCTATCCTTAGGGCACAGAAGCTTGGGAGAAATCTGCATAGGTAAAATACAAAATCCTGTATTAAAAAGTTATCTTAGAGATATGATTTGCTTTGTCATTGTCTTTCAGTGTAGAATGAAAAAAACAAAGCTATAAAACTTCCAAACCTATGAAGCAAATTAGCTTGAGAACCTTATTCTAAACCGCTCCACTGGATTCAAGCCAAACTTTGCAAATAAGAGTGGAACATAACCATTACTACATTCATTTCTGTAATGTAAAAATTAGTGATCTAAGAATTTTCTCAGAAATGAGACTTCCATAAAGAGTAAGAATTTGTACACTTTGTACAATTTTTAAAGCACTCACCTCTTTGTTTCCTTAACATTGCTATATAAAAACTGTTCAAATTATACCATTGTTAAGGTCCATCATTCCCAAATTAGTTCTTGTGGACTAAATGTCATAAATGCATTGGCATGTTCTACATGATAATCACAGTTACTGCCGCTAAGAGCTGCTGTTCTCTGTGAAACCTTCAAGTCCCACATGTGGTGCAAACCAGTTAGGCACATAGCAAGTCTCGCTCAGTTTGGCCTCTTTCGGGTCTGTCAACACGGACGGGTCCATGTCGCTGGTTAGGTCATCCGAGGACAGGTTCAGACTCCCCAACTTGGCAAGAGAGTTGGAGCGCTTCAGGGGAGACGAGACCGTCAGCCCAGCCAGCCGCAGCCTGGTTTCGATCTCCTCACATAGCAAGTCAAACCTTCACTATTCGGTTTTTCCATTATCTTTCTAAGGTCTATTCCCTTTCCTTTCCCACATGAGCGCAAAAATTATACCAAATCTGTCATGCAGCATGTAGGTGAGATACAATAATAAATAATTCAAACATAACAAACAAACATCACTAAAGTCATTAATACTTGAAGGCAGGCAATCAGCAGCGTCCCAGACCTAACATAAAAAGTGCATGTTCCATCAGTCATTCAAACTTAAGAGTTTTCTGTTACTTAGCAACTATACTACAATACTTGATGAAAAGAAGGCACCAAGATTGTATGGGTATGACCTAAAACAAGAAAAGGGTACTCAAGATACTAAATGTCCTAACATAATGTGATTCTGAACCAGAAAAAAACCCTTCTGTAGTGCTTCTGTCTGGAATCTATCAAAAATTAATAGTAAATGGGTAGTTTTTTTCTTTTGAACCAGAGTACTCTGCATAGACACAAAACCTATGATCCTAAACATGTTTACAGGTATGTAAATCCCATTATATTCAGTGGCTGTGATCCAGCTTAAGGTAGTTGTGACTAGGTCTCACTGAAAGCAATGAGATTTGAGTTAATTGTGCCATTGGTTTCAATGGTTTTAGTCACAATTAACTGTAGCTTGATTGAAGCTCACAGGTCTCGCTTCAGATCAAAGATACTAAGTATTTGTCAATTGATGTTTCACCAGTCCCTCAAAGATAATCCAGTGAGAATCTTATGTGCATTCCTTAACTCAAACTCTATGCATACAAAGTATGCATATTATGCAAAACTGAATTCAGAAATTCAGAAAGACATTTGATAGTGGTTAAGGGCAGCAAATATAGCCTTATTTGTGGTCTAGTTTTTTCTTGTGATATTCTGATTTAATGGCTGGATATTTTTATTGTTTCAGCTGCTCTGGTTGAATAGTGCTCTGGTTGAATACTACTCTTTTGTTAGACACTTTGAAGTCCCAGTTGTGTGTGTCGAGAGGACAGCAGGGCTTAAATGTTTTAATGAAAAGGGGAAAAGTTACATCCACTACTATAGACAGTGTGCCAGCTGTCCTGAGTCAGAGCCATATGCACATATGGGTGGTCTCGTGATCTCTGACAGATGTAGACCAGGATGGCAGCTTTTAGATTGGAATATCTTTGTGCCCTGCAGCATGGGCATCTGCCATTGTTGTACACAAGGACTGCTAGACTGGGATCGATGGTAACTTTTGAATAGGCTAATATTTGATATATTTCTAACATTGGTATGTTGTTGTCAAAAACTATGCTTTTCATCGGAAATGTAAAAATAAAGTTTGTTCTTTTGGAAGTATGGTATTTTTTTAAGAAAGAAGTTGGTGTATGGCTGGCTTGCCTAATGAATTTTATTTATAATTATTAGATTTAACATCTATAAGTGTAAATACAGTTGTAATTGCACTCCTATTCATCACTGCAACCTGACTATCCACGGTCTGTGATGAATTTAGGAATGATCCATTGTCTGAGGACCAGAGGGGACTTTCATCAATGACAGGCATCCCATTCTCTTCCAAGTCAGAAGACCTTGTATCATTATTTCAGCCATGTCTGGATTAAGCTTGGTGCTTGGGGAGGGCAATAGTGGAAGGGCTTCTAGTGTCCTGGCCCCACTGGTGGACCTTCTGATGACACCTGGTATTTTTGGCCTCTGTGTGGCGGAGTGTTGGACTGGATGGGCCATTGGCCTGATCCAGCATTGGCTTCTCTTATGTTTTTATGTTCTTAAGCTTTATCTTCCTCAGCCACATCCATTCTCCCAACCATGTTTAGGCACTTGGAGAATACTGATGTTGATAGACTCAGGTTTAGGTGAATGGAGGGGGGGTTGTCTTTGTCATCTGTGTGGTGATGGCATCAAACATGATATTTCTGTATGTTGTCACCTAATGGCCTCATGAACATACTGAACAGGTGCAAGCTCAGAATGGCACCCTATAGAGTCACAAAACTGCTGTCACAAAAAAAGATTATAAACTGCTGATACAATGGAGCAAGAAGGAATGCAACAGAGAATTAAGGGGAAATTGATCAAAGCAGCAAGTCAAAAACTCACCCCTCTTCTGGAAATTAATTCCAGGCAGACTTTTGGGACCCAAATCCCCAATATCCTCCTATATACCATCAGATAAATTGTTTGGGGTTTTTTCACAGAACTGTACAAGGATGCTACTCAATCTCTCCCTCTAATATCATTAGAAAATACTTCCAAATGGTCTCCTGTAACTCCAGGTGAGATTAAATCCCACATAGTCCAATTGAAAAATGCTAAAGCCCTGGACACAATGGTATCCCACCTGAATTTCTAAAAGAAAATAAGGAGTGGTGGGCCTCTTTTTTGGCTCCCCTCTTTATGCATATTAATGATACAGGCCATATTCCAAAATCATGGTGAATGGCTATAGTAGTTCTTTTTTATAAAAAAAGGCAATCAAATTACAGGCCAATTAGTTTGCTGAATATCATAAGTAAACTATATGCACGACATCTTTTGGACAAACTTCTGAATTGGTTTGAACAAGAGGACATCTTAGTGGCAGAAAAGGCAGGTTTTAGGCCAGGAAAATCTACAATAGACCAACACCTGATTATTCAACACCTTATCAAGAACTGAGGGAGCAAGCGAGAATAAAATTTGAGTTCTCAAACTGGTGTAGGAAAATTAATGGACTTGGAGGAAGGTGGGATAGCCCCTGAGGAGTTCAGGAACAGATTTCAACAGCTCTTGGAGGGAGGGGTTTTATTTTGAACATGACTACTGTAATGCCTGTACTAAACAGATCATATTTCAGCCGGGGGGGGGGGAGACAGATAGTTACAGTCATTTGGTCGAGCCAAAGGCACAGCCCAGGCAAGGTCTATTACCTTAATACTCCTGAAGCGGAATTCTGGATAGAGACCTGGCACCCAGATGGGGGATGGAGACTTTGGAGGGTAACTGAATGGGAACCTAGAGTTGCCAAGTCGCGGCGGGGGATCGTAGCTCTTCACAGAATCCTTGCCGCAGGGACAGCGAGATGCATTGCACCCACCATCGCCAGGATCTGACGCTATGCGTCGCTTTGGCAACGGGGCTCCAAACAGCGCCGTTGGCAGAGCAACACATAGTGTCATGTCCTGGCGACGGCGGTGCAACGTGTCTCGCTGTCCCCGCGGCAAGGATTCTGTGAAGAAATGCAGATCCCCCGCTGCGATTTGGCAGGCCTATGGGAACCTGATGATAATCATGCACACCAGAAGGCAAGAGCCTTCAGGTGCATGAATGGGGGTTGCCCCGGTTGTCCCAAAAGGGCAGCCAGAAGTTGATGGGAGGTGTTTTTTTTTTTATTTCAGTCATCTTGTTTTGACATCTGGAAATCTAGAGCCTAGGACAGAATGGCTAAGGGGTGAATATTATATTTATTTGGGGCCTATATAGGATGGCTCATACAGCAAAGTTGGGGCCAGGGATTATATCATCCCTGAGAAATAGGACATAGTAGCAACAGCTAGAGATAAGATGAAGGTATGTGTGTGTGAACAAGCCAAGATGGCCTTGGCAAAATAGAGCACTAACTAACCACACATGTGTAATCAGATCATAAATATTTCCTAACCCGCCCTGCATAGTTAATTAGCTAATTTTAATGCACATACAATGTATGTTGATGTATGTTTGGGAGGGGAACGAGCTGGTATGTAGTAGGCAGTCATGTAGCCCGTACACTACGATTACCTTGGCCTATAGGAATGAAGGAGGGATTTTGAGGACGGGGGGGTAGGGAGTATAAAATAAAACAGTTTGGAATGTTCTGTGAGCTCATTTGATTCGACTCCCTTTATTGTTTACAAAGTTCAATTAAAAGATACTCCAGACTGATTGCTCTTTTTTGTTGTTGTTTGCCTCCCCGGAGGGGCCGGGGAAAGTAGAGTTTGTTTCTCACAGGAGAGAGAAATGACATGTCTCCCACAAGCCCTTGCAAAGTCTCACTTGTCATCTATATATCTAATAGCCAAGTTGCCCCCTCCGTGTGGATATCTAAATCCGCACATTGGGGGCACTTGGAGGGCAGGGAGATTTTCCTGCACACTTGGAGCAGTCCCCAGGTGTGCAGAAAAATCTAGAAAGTTTAAAAAACTGTACAGGGGGTATTTAAATCCCCCCAAAAGTAAGAGCGTTCCCTGCGCATGCACAGAGAACGTTCTGGGAACTCTGCAGCGGCCGGCGACTGGGAGGCGCTCAGGCCTCACCGCTGGTGCGGGGGGGATCGTGGGGGGGGGAGATTGGCGGGCCCGGGGGCTGGGAGGCGCTCAGGCCTCGCCGCTAGTGCCTGTGGGGGGGAGAGAAAATTGGAGAGGAATCAGCAGGCCCAGCAGCTGGGAGGCACTCAGGCCTTGCCACCTGTTGTGTATGTAATGTAATAAATGTATTGAGCTTGAGTCTGACAAGGTATTGTAAACCGACCTATCAGAACAAAGGAAGTTCTGGAGGGAAGCAAAGTGATTGGTCTTTATGTACAGTTTCTGATTGGCTACCATCTGACATGTGGGCGTGGCTTGCCAAGCCCAGACTGTTTAAAAAGGAGCCTGTTGCTCCATTGTTTGTCTCGTTCTGGTTCTTCTGACTTCGTGTTCAATAAAGCTGTTAATCACTGTTCACCTGCTGCCTGAGTCTCGTATCTAACACCACCGGTGCCCATAAGGGGGGGAAATCAATGGGTGGGGGTGGAGAAGGCTTACCTGCAGAGCTGCTTCTGCAGACCAGGAGCCTTTAGGAATACTCCCCCTGCCGCGAGTATCACGGGTCCCGCTTCTTGTATATTCTATTAGTGAAGTCAGGATATCTTTGGATACTTAAATCTGGCTTGGTTCTATCAATAAAAGGCAGGGGGAGGGGGGAGAGCCTTTTCCAGGCCTATTTTGGCCTTTGAGGGAGGACTCATTGCAGACAGGCTTGGGCATAGGGCTGCCGGCCACAGGCTGGGAAATTCCTGGAGATTTTGTGGTGAACTCTGAGGAAGGCAGGATTTGGAGAGGGGAGAGGACTTAGGGGGATATAATGCCATAAAGTCCACTCTCTGAAGCAGTAATTTTCTCCAGGGGGACAGACCTCTGTTGTCTGGAGTTCAGTTGTTATTCTGGGGTATTTCCAGATCCCACCCGGAAGTTGGCAACTCCAGGCCTGTCAGCACCCTCTGGGTGACTTGATACCATCTGACTTGCATGACTGAACTTGGCCTGACTTCTTGATACTGTTCAACAGCACTCACCCTATGAAAGCCAGTGTGGTGTAGTGGTTAGAGCTTCAGAGTAGGGTCTGTGAGACCCAGGTTCGAATGCTGATCGAGCCAGTTTGGTGTAGTTGTTAAGTGTGCAGAATCTAATCTGGGAGAACCGGGTTTGATTCCCCACTCCTTCACTTGCACCTGGCTGGATGACCTTGGGCAAGCCGTACTTCTGATAAGAGCTTTTCTTGAAAAAAGAGCCGTTTCTCTTAGAGCTCTCTCAGCCCCACCTACCTCACAGGCAGTGTTCCCTCTAAGCTGAGTTAGTGTGAGCTAGCTCACAGTTTTTTAGCCTCCAGCTCACACATTTTTGTCTTAGCTCAGGAAGGAGGGCTCCAGAGCAAACTAATTGATGCAGCAGCCAAATTGCTCGCTCACAACTTTAATGCCAGCAGCTCACAAAGCAGAATTTTTGCTCACAAGACTCCATAGCTTACAGGGAACATTGCTCACTGGGTGTCTGTTGTGGGGAGGGAAGAGGAAAGGCATTTGTAAGCCGCTCTGAGTCACCTTTGGGTAGTGAAGGGCGGGGTATAAATCCAATCTCTTCCTCCTTCTCCTCCTAATCTTGCTGGGGAAGCTCACCGGCTGATTTTGGACCAGTCACATACTTTCTGCCTAACCTACCTCATAGCATTATTGTGTGGATAAAAAGGAGGAGAAGAGAATAATGGAAGCTGCTTTGGTCAGGCACTTGGAGAATACTGATTTGCTGGAGGTCGGCAACCCTAGAAGGAGTGAAGGAAAAGGGGAGTGACTATGGGGCTTTCAGGAAAGGGAAATAGGAAATAGGAAAGAGGAAGTGAGATGCCTCCTACAAGTCCTTGTGGTTTTCCACTTGTATATTCTGATGATCTGATGATACTTTAAATCCAGTGATTAGAGATATGAATGGACAAGGCAGAGCTTTCTACAAAACTGAAAATGCCCCAGGTTTGCAGAAAAATCTGAAATTAAAAAAATACATTGGAGGGTTAAAAAACCCAAATTATAAAAGGAACACTTGTAGCTTTTAAAAACAGAATCCCTTAGAAGCAGTTGCCAGGCAACCACAGCATTCTAGGCTTAATTTTTGTTAGTAAAAGGCAGGGGGAGGGGGCAGGGCCATTTCCAGGGATGTTCTTGCCTTGGTAGTGAGAATGAGGCAGGTAAAGTGGAGGGGATATGGGGTTGCCAGAAGAAGGGAATGGGAAAATAATGGGGGGAGGGGGATATAGGGGAAAGTGATGTGCCCCTGACAAGTCATTGACAGTTCTCGATCATGCAAGATCGAGTCAGCAGTGGCTGACACCACACAACTGGGGCATAGTTTTCCTATGCAGAGGCTGCTGAAGGGGAGCTGAAAACAAAAGAACAGATAAAGGTAGGTTGTTTGTTTGGTGGGAAGGAAGCAGGAAAAGGGAAGTGGCTATGATAGCTTTCAGGGAAGGGAAAGAGGAAATAATGGGGAAAGGGGAAATGAGATGTCCCCTGAAAGTCCTTGCAGGTTTCCACTTGTATCCATACGACCTTGGCCTGTTCTTAACTTCTTTAGATAAAGGCAGACTATAAAATGGAAATGTGGAAAGCTTGTAATAAATAAGAGACTGAGCTGGATTAGTAGCAATCAATTCAATCAGTATTTATATTACTGGAGGCTTCCAGTTTTTGACTTCTTGATGGCGGCCACATCTCCTGGGAGCTCCCAGGGATGAGAGCCATAAGCCAGCGGTTGGGAGGGGTGCAATCGTCCACATCCCTCCCGGAGCCCTTGCGATGGGCTCCCAGCCATGGGGTGCTCAGGGGTTGCCTCTCTCCCGGCTTACTGCCGGTGGATTGAGGCTCCCTTCTGCCCCGACGGTCCTGCCACTGTGCGTCCACTAAGGAGCTAGAGTTGCTGACCAGGACAAGCGTTTGGAGGTCAGGCGAATTACCTGGACTTGGCGAGATCCTTGGATTGAAGTTGGATGTTGATGAGTGAGTTAAAGTTGAAGTGAAGACACCAGAGCTCTGGCTTAAAGTCCCCCGAATATAAGTGGGGGGGAGGGGACTCTCCCCCTAAACAAATAAGTGAGTCAAAAAGCATTTTTTGCCTGGGGGGTGGAGCTATAAGCAGCAATGAACTATATTGGACAGATTCCAAGAGACGATCAGGTGTTTTAGCAGAAATTCGGGACTTTGGCAACTTTTCTTAAAAATAAATATCCCAAAAATGGCATCAGAAAGCACAGAAGGAGAAGCAAGCAAGATACAAGCCTTCTTCAGGAAGAGGGAGATCAGCTGGCAACCATAGACTCTTCCTATCTATGTGCTGAAGCTCTTCGCCCCCTGCTGGTATAAAGGAGGTACTCAGCTGGAACTGTGCTCTATTTCAGCTTTAACTTTTAAAAGGACTGTGTTAACATTAGAGAATTAGCTAACCTTTTGAGGGAGATTTGTTTTCCCTTGTTAAAAAAAAAGGAAAAAGATATTAGTAATTGGGGAGCTAAATTGTAAATTGAGATGCCATTGTTTTCTGAAGTTTGCTTTTAACTTAATTAATTATTTCTCTGGATTAATCTTCATTTAGTCAGTTTTGGTGATTTTGTCAATATAAGTGATGATGATGAATGATCACTATCACTGTCCAAAAGTAATAGTTAAAAAGCTATTAATAATAATATACTTTATTGTCATTGTACACAGTACAACGAAATTAAAGGTGCAATCATTTCAGTGATCTACAGCCATACACATATACACTCACACAACCATTCACAACCATCCCATAACTCCCTTAAGGTTCACATTGCAACCTAAACCACCTAAACCACATTGCAACCTAAACAACCTAAACCACATTGCAACCAACCACCATATTATCTATGTTAAGCTATATATGATCTCCATCTCTTGGGTTTTTAGTGGTTCTGTTTCTTTATCCTGTAGTTTGTAGTAACTCCCCACCATGTTTCTTTGTAGTTTTTAGAAATGCAATTAAAAAATCCCCTTTGGGGGGCAAAAATAAATAAATTATATTAATGGTTTCAGGTCCTGATAAATAACGTACTCCATCAACATAGAAAAGATCAAACATTCTCCAAAAGAACTCACCGAAATAAAGGCTTTTGACTGGGTTTCATTCAAATTAAGAGTCAGTTTCTTTTGTGTGTCATATACTGCATACAGTCTCTTAGACCAAGAAGATGGCACTTTGCTCTTGTTCTTTAATGAGCTGTACAAGGCAAATATTCTTTGTAAATCTGCCACCAAGCAGCTGCAATTGTAGACAACGACACCAAGCTCTTTCATCTGTGAAGCAGAAATGCCCATCATCAAGAGTTCATTGGCTGGTACATATGTCTGAAACTGAACATTGTTTTCAGCACATGAATACATTATATTATCACCACAGTATATTTCATGCAGTTTGTATCCAAACTTAAAACACAGTGCAACTGTTTTCTCTGTGATGTCATTTGCATTAAGTAACATGTATCTTAAAAATAGCTATAAGACAGCTAAAGAAAAGAACAGTGGGTGGTAATGCTGATAAGTGCAAACACAGGGAACATTGTTAAAACTGTAGCCCTGGTTTAACAAAACAGAACATGGGGTGTCTATGTTTAATTGTCCTTGTTTAAGTATGTACTGTAATAAATAGTAATCATCATTG